GCCATAAATATGGACCCAAAACTATGGATAGATCCCGAAAAGTTTGAACCGCAAAGGTTTCTAAGAAATGGAAAGGTTTTTAAACCTGATCATTTTATACCATTCTCTGTCGGTGAGTCTCATTTGATATATTAAACCACTTATAAAATGGTATATAATATGAAATGTATTCTATCTTAAAGGGCGGCGAATGTGTTTAGGAGATGTATTGACTAAAATGGAAGTCTTTCTCTTCCTCTCGAGTTTATTACAAGAATTCGATTTATGTGTTCCCGATATCGAAGACCCGCCCAAAGCGCAGGGCATTGTCGCCGCCTCTATGGCACCCAAACCATATCAGGTGTGCGCCGTTCCCCGCAATCGCAACAACTGATTGCATAGTATTTGTTATTTTTAAATATTTTTTAGTTAATTTTTGAATTGTAATGTATTTACTAAAATATTTTGTTATTATTTTTCTAATTTAATCTCATTTTTTCAAATTAAATACTCATTTTCATCGGAATTACATTTTTATTTCATATATAAAATAAATCATTGAATTCTTGAATTATAGGCAAATAAACTATTTATTGAACAAATCTTGCAATTCATGATTTTTTTGCAATTCATTGTTTATTAACTAAACGTTTGGTAACTTAACAAAACTTAATACAAACCATTTTACTGTTAGTTACCATAATTTCCCGAATATATGAATGTAAGCATATTTAAGCAACTTTATAAAATGTGCAAATACGGTATATTTATAGATTAGCAAAACCCTACTTACTAAGTGCCGTACATTGATTTTACTGTGCCTATAGGACCTATAGTACTGTATTGGTGTGTTTATTCTATGTCATAAAGAATATTAATAAAAATTATGTAAATTTGGTGATACTTTATTTTTAATTTTGTTTCAAGCATAATATATAACAACATTAAATTAAAACAATATTAACGTGTATTGTTGGGGGTTTACTGGGGGTCTCAGACCAAACCTGGGCATAAGCGCCCAAAATTTACAAATTTAACTAAAAAATTACTTTTCCTTATAAAGCAGAGCTTATACATTGACTTTAAGGTATTACAGACTGATATAAAAATGTTTGTAATGATAGTAACAAATATAACATAAATATGTTACTTATTAAGCAAACATAAAATTAACAAAAAAATATTCAAACAAAATGTAGAATATTCATGAATTTGCGAGAAACTAGAGAATCTCATATTTCAAAGTCCACAAAATATGGGACAGTAAATTGTGTGACCATCATTTAAAAACTTAGATAACCAGCATAAATGGCAAATGCCCATGCTCACCCATATGCACAACTAACCCACTACCAGGTTTGCGAGCCTCCCCCGGGCGCCCTTCCTTGGGCTCAACCCCACCGCAAATGTATGTAACGTTGTCTACGGATTGTCTGTCAATTTGCATAACACTGTAATATTGTGTAATTGTTTACAGTTTGAAGCGTTTGTCACAATTGATTGTTATTTGTGTTCAACTGTTGGACATATTGTCGAAAATAGTGGCCAAACATGTCATTGATATCACGGCTCGAATTGAGACAACTCTTTGGTCTGCATTACATAACAAACATATTATTAGCGCTTTCTTTCCTCGCACTCAAGTGTTTGTCTCCCATTTGTGACCA